TTATTTTCTCGTGATCGGCGGCTTCCTTGTTGATCCCCTGAAAGGGGATTAACAGATAAGGGTAGTCATGGCGATAAAGTGCAGAAAATGCAATAAATTTATAGGTAGAACTGATGATTATATAACCTGCCGGAAAGAGTGTAACTCGTGTTACCATATTGCATGTGCCAATTTAAGCAAAGCGGCTTTTAAATTGCTTAAAGATGCTGACCTGATAAAAACATGGGGGTGTAGTCTCTGTAGTCCACTCTCTATACCTTCTGAAAATAGGGAAAATTCACCATACGTTATAGCCGATGATATGCCACAGAAACTTCCTGAACATTTAAAAACAGTAATAACCGATCTCTCTCGTGTAGTCGCAGAAAATTTCTCTTTGCTCAGACAGCAGGTTTTGGACTTGAAAAACGAAAACCTTATGCTCCGTGATGACATTGCAAGATTGACGCAAATAATGCGCAGCGGTGATAATTATAATGGAAAGAGTGCAGTAAATACTTCCTCCTACGCTGATTCGCTTAAAAATACCTCTTCCATGGTTATTAGGCCCAAAGACACGAATCAATCTAATACAAAAACTAAAGCTGATATTATTTCAAATATGAATCCGGAAAATTCTGATGACTATGGTATTGCCAAAGTTAAAACTATAAAAAATGGGGGCATAATACTTAAGTGTCATAATCCTGGGGAAATAAAAAAGTTGGCGCAGGAGAATGACTTATCTGATAAATATGAATTTGGTGATCTAAAAACTCCCCAACCGCGCCTGCGCATTGCGGGGATATCAAATGACATTGGTGAACAACAGATTATTACATTTTTAAGGAGACAGAATAAACATATTTTTGCTGATTCTTCTCACTCTAAATTACTTAAACACCTGCCTATAAAAAATAGCAGCGACTACTCCCAGATAATTATTGAGGTTGATATTTCTACATACAAACTTGCGCTCTCCCACGGACACTGCTTGATAGGTTTAGACAGTTGTAATATCTTCGATGCTGTAGATGTGCTGCGATGTTATAAGTGCAATGGCTTTAATCATTCCATCAAAAACTGCAATAAAAAACGTTCTTGTCCAAGATGTGCTGCTGATCATGAGGTGAAAAATTGTTTAGTCCCTGGAGAACAACTAAAATGTGTGAACTGCGCGAACATACATGAGAAAGAAAATCTTAGTGATAGGGATATCTCGCATGCCTGTTGGGACTATAACTCTTGTCTTATGTATAAACGCATGCTTAACAAACTTAAGCATGACGTCTTTGGAATATGTAACATGTAGCAATCAACTCATCCAACCACCCATTATTTGACCTATTCGTACACAACAGTTGTTAATTCTGCTACAAGCAGTATGACTTTTTCAAGTAATAATACTGATAATTTAACACCTAAGTCAAATTTAATTTTTACTTGCGATTCGAACCAATGTAGCGACCCTCGTTTGTATTACCAAAATTGTCGCGGATTAAATACCAAATGTAAAGATCTGTACACTGGTCTTGTATGTTGTGATTTTGATGTTGTCTGTTTCTCTGAAACTTGGCTCAGTAGTTCCATCCATGATTCTGAGTTTTGCCCCAATATTTTTCATGTCTATAGATCCGACCGTGATTTTCAGAGAATGCAGGTTTGTAGAGGAGGAGGTGTCTTAATAGCCATTCGACGTAAATTTGATGCGTATATGATTGATTTATCGCATTGGGGTTTTAACTCTTTACAGTTTACTGATGCGGTTTGTGTTAAGCTTGTTCTTAATTATATCACGGTATATATATATATTTGCGATATACATACAACCTAAGGCCTCTGTTGAGGAGTATGAATTATTATTTGATTTACTAGCTAATTTAACTGAAATTTATAATCAAAAAGTAATTTTAGTCGGTGATTTGAATTTATCAGATTTTCGTCCTAACTTGCCTAATTTTACAATGGGGAGTAAAAAAATGTTATCACTGTTTAACTTTTTGCAGTTTTACGATTTTCAGCAATATAATAGCGTTCCTAATTCTAATGACAGATACTTAGATCTAATTATTTCTAACTTTAATTGTTTTGTAAAGAAATCTGCTGATAATATATTGCACGAGGATGCTCACCATCCATCCCTTTGCGTTACTGTAAATCTGAAGCAACCAAATATACGATTGATGAAATGTAACAAAATCAATAATATGCAATGGAATTTTAGAAAAGCCGATTTCCCAAAGTTGTATCATTACATTTCTGGTATTGATTGGTCTGATCTTGCTGATAGGTGCGATGTGAACCTGGCGGTTTCCCTCTTTTATAGTAAGATTGTCAGTGCACTTGATTTATATGTACCTAAAACCCGCCGTTTTCGTAACTCCAATTTTCCACCCTGGTTTACTCCGCAAATTATAAAAAAATTAAAACGCAAGTGGCAGCTACTGCGCAAATTTAGACGGAGTAATGACAATGTTATATACAATGAATTTAAAAATATTCGCTCTGAAATTAAGCGAGATATCAAAACTAATTATAATGCTTATGTTAATGATTTGGAGACCAAAATCAAATCAGACCCTAAGAACTTTTGGTCATTTATTAATGATCTGAAAAAGTCGAATGGGCTTCCCTCACAGATGACTTATGGTAAAGATTCACTAGCCAATCCTGAACAAATTGTCAATGCGTTTGCTAAACATTTTAGCTGTAACTTTAACAAATCTGCAGTTACTGTTCCTAGTGGATTATACGACCACATGTCCGATTTGACAATCAATTTACCTTCCATTTCAGAGTCTGACGTCTTGAGTGCTTTGAGAAAGATTAAACCGAATTTCATCTCTGGTCATGATAATATTCCGGCTTTTCTTTTGTCTGATTGTGCTTCTGCGTTGTCATATCCTCTAATGATATTATTCAACCTTATTTTAAAAACTTGCACGTTTCCGAACACCTGGAAATTATAGATGGTATCACCTATTTTCAAGAATGGTAAAAAGGATAAAGTCGAGAATTATAGACCCATCTCGCTGGTTTGCAATTGTGCTAAAGTTTTTGAGTTTGTATTACATAAAATTCTTCTTTTTTCCCTGCACAGTAGAATTACCGAATTTCAACATGGTTTCGTGAATGGCCGATCAACGACCACAAATCTGTGTGCATTCACTCAATTTGTTTCTGACGCCTTTGAATCGAAACTGCAGGTGGATCTAGCATACATTGATTTCTCGAAAGCCTTTGATAAATTGAATCATAATATTCTATTAGCTAAACTACTGAACATTGGGCTTTCTGATTCTTTTGTGAAATTAATTCGATCTTACCTATTTAATCGATCTATGATTGTTAAATATCAAGGCTACCAATCCCATGAAGTTGAAGTTTGTTCCGGAGTGCCTCAAGGATCTGTGTTAGGACCTCTCTTTTTTGTGATTTTCATTAATGATATTATTGTGAACATTAAGTCCAACATTCTCATATATGCTGATGATATCAAAATATTTAAAACGATTTCTAGTATGGAGGACTGCCTTATTCTGCAGAGTGATCTTACTACATTTCTTCACTGGAGCAATAGTAATCTACTTCCTGTCAATTTTGACAAATCCTATGTAATGTCTTACACAAATAAAAATTTCCAGATATTATACAATTACACGTTAAATAACATTTTCTTATCTCGGGTTGATACTTTTAAAGATCTTGGTGTTATCTTTGATTCGAAACTCACTTTTCATAATCACATTAATGCAGTTACTTCAGAAGCTTTCAAATCTCTTAGCTTTATTATACGATGTGGTTATCATCTAACAGATATAAATTGTCTTCGTATCTTATATTTCGCTTACGTGCGGTCAAAACTTGAATACGCTAGTGTCGTCTGGTCTCCTTTTCAAAAAACCTATATTGATTCCTTAGAAAAGATTCAACGGAGATTTTTAAAATATTTAATGTTTAGGGCTGATGGAAATTACCCTCCTAGAGGATTTCCTCATGTATCCTTGCTTCAGATATTTCACATTGATGATTTGAACACCAGACGGGTCAAGGCAGCTTTAAACTTCCTAAAAAAGCTTATTGCTTTTGACATTGATTGTTCTTACCTTCTTAGTAAAATCTGCTTTTATGTACCACGGTTATCCTCACGTAATCGGTTTTATTTTTATCTTCCCACTCCCCGTATTAATATTGTAAAACATTCGCCTATTTATGAAATGTGCTCCTTATATAATCAAAACTTATATGATCTGGAATTATTTCATTAAGAAAAACTCCTCCTATCTGGGTAAAGTAGTAATCTTATAGCTACTGACATGAATTTAGTTACTTTCATTGCACCTCCATCGTTACTACTTAGTTGGTCTGTCATTGGGTTTGTTTTCAACCTGTTGACCAACTCACGCATAATAATAATAATAATAATAATAATAATAATTATTCAATTTCTCGTTTTTTTTTTTTTATTACTTCATGTTTAGACTTCCCCACTTACAATTTTTCGATATTTGAATTTTTCAAGTTTTAATTTTGCCATCTTAGTTTTTCGACTTTTAAAATTTTTCGACTTTTCGTTTTATAGATTTCCCGATTTTTCAAGTTTTCGATTTCTCAATTTTTTCAACATTATCAGTTTTGGGAACTTTTCAATTTCTTTTTTCAATTCGGAACGCATAGAGTCGACATTGGCCTGATCGCCCTCCGGTCTGTGGATCAAACATGTTCGCAGGCGACGACTTATCAATAATTGTTATCGTCAATTCCACTTAGAAGTTATAATATTTTATGTGAAAATGGAACACTTAAATGAAAATAATTGCCGAAATGTATTTGCCGAATTTTATACAGATCGTATGCATTTAAAAAAGCCCTTCACATTTAATCACTTTTTTCAAACACTAACATCTTATACTGTTTCTATGGTTTATAAGAACTCGTATCTTAACTTTGATTTAAAATAACTTTGTTCTCTTAAAGTACGCTGTCAATGGCAACGTATCTTCTAGCTTCTTAAAATACGATTTCGCATATTTCAAGTTTTTTATTTCGAATCTTTACAATAATTATCACCAAAGTTAAAAGTACAATTATTAAAATAAACATTTTGAGCGGTGTTCTTGCTAGTACTAGACCTAGAATTGGAACTGCCACACGCTTCACTGTAACATAGGTTCGTGGGCTTGTCCATAACGATTTCATTGTCAACTAATTCATTCGGTGCCAGCTTTTCATCTCCAAAAACTGTTTGAGCAATTTTCACTCTTTCTCCACAAGATTCTTGTATGCAAGATTTTGCCACCTTGGTCGATTCCCACCCGCCATGCCTCTTCAACGAAGTAATGTCTCCGCCTGCATTGAATATAAAGTTACTTTGAAGAATAAAGGTAATCATTACAATACCTGCGTTAACCAGGAGAGTTGCCGAACTGCGACGAAAAGAATGACCTGTGTATTTAGCTGGATTTTCCAGTTTGAGGAAAGTTGCAATTTTTCTGGGAATTTTTCCAAAGGTGTTATAATAGTGTAAAAAAACCTCAATGGTGAATTTGTGGCTCGTAAAGCAACATAACGTCGATACAAATCAATGGTATTAACACCAAAGCCTTCATTAACTACACTAAATCTTCTTTCTTTGTGGGTTTTACTGTCAGGTATAACAATATTCAGAACATTACCACAATCTTGTATATCGTCAAATCTCATAGCACACAATTCGGCCTTTCTGCAAGCTGCGGCAATTCCAAAGATTAAAGCAACCTACACGATTTCATATGTATAAAAAATACTTCTTATTAAGTAATTCTTACCTTCTCGAATAAATATTCTCCGTCATCAGCTTCTTGCAAGAAAGTTTTGATTTCTTCTCGTGTCAGAACGTTGGATTTTTTGCCACGATACCTAACCAACATTTATTTTTTTTATATACGAAATAACAGCACCAAATTTTTCAATATCTATGTTTTCTTTTGCCTTTAGAGTGGCCTTTAACATTGAATATTCTGGCCATAAAGAACAAGGTGACAACTTTTGCGACTGTAATTGTTAAATAATTTAGTTTTATGAATTTTACTAAATATGTACTCACTCTCATGTCCAAAAAAGCCAAGATAACATCTTCGGTTACTTCCTTGATGCGGTTTTTATTTTTCCAGTCTTGGAACGAAACATATACTTTCTCGTATGCATTTTTTGACTTTAAGGGTAACAAATTGCTTCGCAATTCTTTTCCCTTTTTCGCAATTTCATCCAGAAAGTTTTCGCACATTTTGACGATGAAAATTGTTTTTTTCAAAATTTGTTTACTTGTCATAGTTACAATACACAACAATCTTACTATGATACTATGAAGCTTCACAAATGATAGAAGAGGAGAGAAGCCTTAATCAGTCAGAACCACGGTAGTAACTATGTATTGAAACATTATAACAAATAATTTAGTCACATAATAGTGTAAATAGTGTGTACTATTTTTAACATCCATACTCACTAGCCACGGTAAACTTGGACAGAAATTTAAAATCAGCAAAAGTATGTTACCAAGGGAGAATAAAATGATATGTATTTGCAAAGCGAAAATCAATTCCCAAATATTCAGAAAAACAAAAATTGGAACAAAAGCAAAAATTTAAAAAAAATTCTGAATCATTACGCAGCCAACGTTATTATTATTATTATTATTATTATTATTAATTTTGCGTTCGGGCAGAGGCCTAGCCCGCGCTTTGATGCATATGTTACAGCTAATATACGAAATACGTTATTATGCATAATAACTAGATATTTTAGGAATTATGCGTAATAACTAAACTTGTCAGTTATTATGCATAATAACTGGAAATATTAGGAATTATGCGTAATAACTGAATTTTTCAGTTATTATGCACAATAACGAAAACGTTTAGGTAATATTGATAATAACTAAGAGAGGAACAGGAATTATGCATAATACCTGAAACACTAGTCATTAAGCATATTGCCTAATAGGCCAGGGCCGATATTTTGAGAACAAAAAAAAATAGAACAGGATCATACCCATTGGAAAAGGAAGAAAATATAACAAAAATAAAAGGAAAAATAATTTACGGGCGATCTCCGGTCGGGAAATGGAAGAGGGTGAGCTTTTGGGGGTAGAAAACGGTTTATCACGATTTCCGGCAAAACTACAAGTCCTATCGAAAAAAGTTAAATAGCAAAGTTCTAGGTAATAAAAGGATCTACAACTTTTGTATTTAGACTTTTTTTACATAACCTCAAAATTTATGCGAAAAATGCAAATAACCGAGTTTTTGATTTTTTATTTTTATCTCTCACGGAAAAGTTTTTTTTTCACGAAATTTGGTGAAAACTTACCTAGTTATGTCCCAAACTCACTGTAATTTTTTTGATTCAAAATATTTATTTTTCCCCCTTATTTTGATTTAATATCGAAAAACCACCCTAATTTTCAATCGAAAATTCTCACGTCAAAATGTTTGCTTTTTTAAAAAATCGGCGTGCTTTTTGTTCGTTGAAATCTCTACTTTCTGATGGTCTAAAAAAAAGTATACATTACTATGGCAAATTTTCACAGGAAATCCAAAAAAACGAAAAACTCGAATTCGAATTTTTTTTAATCATGTAAAATTTTGAGTTATTTATTAAAATTTACACTATAATTACTCAAAAAAGGTAAGATTCCATGTTACACTGATAAACTCAAAAATTTAAAATCCATGAAACAAACGCCTTCTGTTGGTGGGAGATTTGTCAATATGAATGATGATTTAATTCTTGCCAATTGATTTCAGAAATCTTAATTGATTCAGTGTTATATTGTCATTTTTACATTTATAAATATATTTGATTAATTGTAATACATTTTTTGCGATATATTCTTCGTTTCCATGTTTTTTATAACAAATATTGGCCAAATTTGACAAAATTTTATCGTCTAACTAGCAGACCCAGCAAATGTTGTTTTGCCATATAAATTATTTCTAGTGAATAATTTAGTAGTTAAATAAAAAATTAAATCAAAATAAATAAATAAATTATAATTAAATTAAAGTATAAATTATACATAAGAATTTATCGTACGAGAATGATTATATTCAACAGCCATCTTGAACCCTATTGCGTATCTGTGGATGAAAGAAAAGATACTAATATCGTTACTACAAAATGATGGTTGGTGGTAGAAGGGTGAAAATTTAGGGTTATATGTATTTTTTGAAGCCAAATCTTAAAAAAATAAAAATAACAAATTTTGTCCGAAAAATAACAAAAAAAAATTTTGGGTGGGCCACCCTTATCACCTAGGGTTATAAAAATAGTTTGCGACCTATTCTCAAACCTACCGAATATAGACAGAAAATTTCATAAAAATCAGTCAAACCGTTTCGGAAGAGTTTGGTTACACACACTGTAACACGAGAATTTTATATATTAGAAGACAATGAATTTACGATGTCTTTCTTTCCTTTTCCGGCAAACCCAGACATTGTATCGCAACTAGAAAAACAATACAGAAATGCAACGATATTTTTGAAAGATTCATATTTGAAACTATTGGACGTGAAAAATAGATCTTTTACATTTCCAGAACTTGGTTTGAGAAAATAAATGTCATAATTATTTGAATTCAATTGATTCAAAAGGACCAAAATATCTTGACCCACAACTATGACAATTTTATTAGTATCTCTGGCAGTTTCTATCGAGATTTTAATTATGTCTGTAGATTCCAAAAGTTTTTTTTAAATAAGTCAATTCGTCACGATTCTCTTCAAGTAACTCAGCCTGCACGTGTATTTTTATAGACGATGTGTTCATTCTTCTGATGGGCTAAAATTTTCCGTAGGCCATTCAGGTATGTAAGTTATCTTAAAATAGCACTAAATAGGCACCTATGGATATAATTTAAAAATTATCCTACAACTTTAACAAAATATTGTAGATGTCTTATAAAGTATTAAGTGTATTAACTTATTTGGTTGTTAATTATAGTACTCCTAGTATATTTCGATTTGCAATTTTTTTATTTATCAATGTAACATGGAATATTACATTTTTCGAGTAATTAACGTGTACATTTTAATAAATAGCTCCAAATTTTACATAATAATTAAAACACAAATTTTTGAATTCAAGTTTTTTCGTTTTTTTGCATTTCCTGTGAAAATTTGCCATAGTAATGTATAATTTTTTTACACCTTCAGAAAGTAGAGATTTCAGCGAACAAAAAGCACACCGATTTTTTAAAAAAGCAAATATTTTGACGTGAGAATTTTCGATTGAAAATTAGGGTGGTTTTTCGATATTAAATCAAAATAAGGGGGAAAAATAAATATTTTGAATCAAAAAAATTACAGTGAGTTTGGGACATAAATAGGTAAGTTTTCACCAAATTTCGTTAAAAAAAAATTTTTTGTGGGAGACAAAAATAAAAACCAAAAACTCGGTTATTTGCATTTTTCGCATAAATTTTGAGGTTATGTAAGGAAAGTGTAAATACAAAAGTTGTAAATCTTTTCATTACCTACAACTTTGCCATTTAACTTTTTGCGACAGGACTTAGTTTTGCCGGAAATCGTGATAAACCGTTTTCTACCCTTAAAAGCTCACCCTCTTGCCCTTTCGGACCTCAGATCGCCCGTAAATAATGTTTTCCTTTATTTTTGTTATATTTTCTTCCTTTTCCAATGGGTATCATCCTGTTCTAATTTTTTTTTCACTTATTACCATTTTCAAAGGCTTCGGCACTGGTCTATAATATGTCCAGCTGATTTCAAAAAAACGGGACAAGATGAGCAATTCAGGTTTTCATAAATCAATGAAAAGCAAAGGGAATATGACGTTTATATAACTGTAATTTGTCGCTTTTTTTTTAAATCAACTGTACATGTGATATGTAGGGGAAAGCGAGGCAGGGTGGGTAGCTTTTTGGAAAATATTATGCATAATTCCTGTTCCTTTATTAGTTATTATCAATATTACCTAAACGTTTCCGTTATTATGCATAATAAATGAAAATTTCAGTTATTACGCATAATTCTTAATGTTTCCGGTTATTATGCATAATAACTGATAAGTTTAGTTATTACGCATAATTCCTAAAATGTCTAGTTATTATGCATAATAACGGATTTCGGATATTACCTGTAACACATATAATGACTTATAAATATTCAGTTTATCCCGAAGGACAAAAATGTTCCGAACGTCCCACAACTACGACCAATTGAACGCTTTTGGAGAAATCTAAAGAGGAATTTGTGTGAAAAATGTAGGGTAGGAACCCTTCACACATATAGAATTAAGCGTTGTGTATGGCTGAAAATTTGGCAGACAAAAATATTGGCTTTCAGAAATTTAATGCGCCGTGTTAAAACAAAAATTTGCTAAGCAAGTAGATATGGTGCAGATCGTATTCTATAAAGTTGTTTTATAAATGTTAACAGTTGCATTTTTAATTCGTCATTCAATAATAAAGTTATGCTAAGTTTAAATACATAGTCACTGTCACTGGTATAAAATAACTAACAAACACATAAAAATTTTAGATAATAAGACAGGAAAACGAATATTAATTATAGGGTTTATCACGACAATCAAGTTTCATACTTTTATTTTACAGGAGACAGCAACTTAAAATTTACCGTTGTTCTAGACGGCACCATTTTGCACCAACGCATTTATAACATCAACATCGTTATTTTTTCTAGCAATTTGCAGAGGCGTCATTCCGTTTTGATCTGTAGCGTTTACGTCAGCACCTTTCTTAATCAAAAATTCTACGATATCTCGGTGGTCCCCTTTAATTTCTGTTGTTATACCTGGCGGCAAAAAAGAATTACGTTCGCAAGCAAGATGTAGTGCAGTCGTTCCCTTGTCGTTTTTTGCATTTACATCTGCATCAAATTCGTTCAATAGCTGGTCCAAATGTTCTTTGTCGCAGTTTTTTAATTCTGATATCCAGTGCCATACCGTGTAACCGTTGCTACATTTGGCTCCATGTTGTACTAATACGTCGATCATATCGTATCTGCACTTTTCACAAGCGATGTCTAAAATGGTCTTATTTCTAAATGTTTCAGGATTAAAACCGCTACGACTTAGAGGTCTGTTTATGTTTAAGCTACGTTGTACCAAAATTTTGACAACAGCAATATTTCCTTCTCTTGGTGGCAAAATAGTCTCAAAAAGTGATCCAGAAACTGCTATTTCTAACAAAGAATGATCCAAAATTTGACAATCTACTAACTCAGGATTTTCTGAAATAACTGAGTGGAATAATTTAGGGAAGCCTTCTTGGGCACAGTAGAAAAGCAGAGTATCCATTTCATAACTATCATAAAGCTTTGTCTTAATATCTTCGAAATTTGCACATCCGATTTCTAAAAATCTTTCAATTGGATACAAACATTCTGCTTTTAGGGAATATTCTATTAAGTCAAGATTAAACAAGCCGTCTTTGTTGTCGGTATTGGGGCATTCTGTTACCATTCTGTCGGTCATTTTTGGGTAGCAACTACGATTTCTGCTTAACAAAATCATTGCCATCCTAGAACTAGGATTTACATTTCCATAAGTACACAAGAGATGCAATGCAGTCCGTCCACCTTGGTCTTTGCTGTTTTTTTCGTTTATATGTTTTTCAAACATATCCATGTTTTTATAAATAATAGACAAGTGTAACGGGTTGTTTTCAGCCAACATCACATTGAACATCAGTCGCAACATTTTATATTTTCTAGAAAATATTACTGTTTCCAATAATTTCGTTTTCGATTTATTCTTTTTTAACCAAACACAGGCAAAATATTCTGCATATGTCTGATGGACCAATATAGCCTGACCGCTTTCGTTGATTTTCTTGATTATTCCAAATTTGTCGCCTTTATTTTTTATTTCGTCGACAAATTCTTGCGTTTCTTCTAATTCCACGTTCAATTTCTCGAAGTCTTTTCTGCCTAAACACTGCTTTAAAGCAGGAATTTCGTAAGGGTACAAAAGGGGTTTAAGATATCCGAGCTGGTGTTTTTGGCTCTTATCAACAATTTTACAAATTGCAGAGTTTAATTTTCCTTCAAAAAAAATCTTGTACATTTGTGTCAACACAAATATGTTCTTTTCTTCCAGGTTTTTGTAAACGTCTTCATTGTTGAGGAAGATTTCTGTTAGTATGTACAACAGGAGCGGAATTCCTAATAATTCCTGACTGTTGCTCAAGTCTGTGTTGGTGGAAACTGCACTCAAGATTATTTCTATTTCTTTGCCTTTGTACTTTCTTTTTAGTTTTTTTCGTATGTAATCTTTTTGTTCGTTTTTGTTCAG